AAATAGTTCCTATTTATATACCTTAGTAGAGAAGGAGAAGGTAGATAAATCAACAATTTAGCCAACTGGAAAATGCAAATTAAAACTGCTTATTCGAGCCAAGTCAGAAAGGTTAAGGTTAAAATTTAAAAAAAAAAAAAAAAAAACCAAAAAAAAAAAAAAAAACCAGGAAAAAAAAAAAACAGAAAAAAAGAGGAAAAAGAAAAAAACAACAACAACCTACTTTCCATCGCCAGGCTCCACGTGCATCTATCTACCCCAGCTCTCCCCTCTCCAGCTCTCTCCCGGGTCCGGGCCCCGGCTCCGAGTGGGTGGGGGCTGTGAGCCGGTGCCAGGGTGGAGGGAGCTTGGGAGGTGCAAAACAGAAAAAAAGAGGAAAAAGAAAAAAACAACAACAACCTACTTTCCATCGCCAGGCTCCACGTGCATCTATCTACCCCAGCTCTCCCCTCTCCAGCTCTCTCCCGGGTCCGGGCCCCGGCTCCGAGTGGGTGGGGGCTGTGAGCCGGTGCCAGGGTGGAGGGAGCTTGGGAGGTGCCCGCACCCTTGGGTCCATTTGCATAAGTCAGATAGGGGGTGCGATGGCGGTGGGGAGGACAAGAACGCCTTCCTCTCGGCCCCTCGCGCCTCCGCGCTCGCTCCAGCCGCTCTGGGCAGAGAAATCAATAAGCCCAGGCCGTTTGTCGCAACTTTCGGTGGCCAGCGTCAGCGTCCGGTGGCAGCCCTGGAGCTGGGACCCGGGACCCGCTACGGCGGGAGGGGGCGTGCGTTATCAGCTCCCGAGCTCAAAGTTTGGACTTGGAGCAAACTTTTCCCTTTCCTCCTCCAAGGGTGTGTGCCCCTTCGGTGCCCCTGAGCTGCCTCCGAACCACGGAGGACTGAGCAGGGACGCCTGTGCCCTGGGCCCGGTGCTTGGGGACATCCCGTAGCCACGCGTGTCTTGGTCCACACAGCAGCGGGGACACGCTCTAGCTGACCCCTGGGAGGTTGGAAAACTCGGATACACACCAGCTTACCCTCTGCCAGACACGCATCCCCACGTGAGATCCGTTCCTGCTTGCCACAGCCGGCACCGGTGCCAGCCGTGGCCAGATCGCGAGTGGGCATGGGGACAGGATGCACTGCAAGGACCCTCGGCGCTTGGACCCTCCAGCCCTAGGCACCACTTTCTCATCTGACCCCCGCCTCTTAATGTTGGGGAACCGGGAATTTCCAAAGCTCTATTTTGCCCTGCGACACGCGCGCGTGTCACCGTGTCCCACCGGCCCCCATCCCGGCCACAGATGGCACTCGGTTTCTCGCCTGCGCGCAGCAGCTTTCCTCTCGAGCTCTCGGCACTCCATTTCTGTCCCTCGGAGACGTCTCTAGACCAGGCGGCGCGCGCTTCGGGTGGGGACCTAGGCGGTGGCGGCTCCCGGAGCCGAGAAGTTGCCAGCAGCCGCGGGGTCGCGGTCATCCACTGCCTCCGCCTCCCTGCGCCCCCGCCCCCATCCCCGTCGAGCTCGGAAACTTTGGTTCCTGGTCCCCCTCCCCACCTGTTGTGAGCTCCGCCTCGGTCCCTAGAGACTGGCGGTGACACACACGGGCGCCTGGGAGCTCCGTGCCCAGAAACAAAGTCGCACCCCCCTAAGTGTTTGCTTGGAAATCGCTCCTGCACCCCCCCACCCCATTCGTGCGCAGCGCCCGCCCCCTGGGAGCCTAAGGACTAAATAAACAGTTGTAACTTCAAACCTTGAGCCTGCCATCCCAGCCCTATCCCACCCCCTTCCCCCGGCCCTGCCCCTCCTTTTTTGTTGTTGTAACTTTGTAAGATCCCGGGAAGGTGCTGAGACTTTGGCTCGGGCCGCTCTCCCGGGTCTGGGGATCCTTGCAGGGATTCCCTACGTCGCATCCTCCTTCCCTGTCCCCGAGCGCTCGGGGGTCCGCACTGTCGCGCGCTGCCCTCTCTCGGATCTTGGGTGCCCCCCCACCACCACTCACCCCTTCGTCCCCTTTGATCTCCCCTCCCACCCAACAACCTGCGAGGAAGGAAGACTTGCTGAGGGTCGTCCCGGTTTCTTGTTGACCGCAGACCCCGAAAGTTTGCTAGAGGAAGACTGCACGCGGCGAGCGAGTGGCCGAGGGGCAGCGGCGGAGAGGGGAAGCATGGTGCTGCCGGCGCCTCCTCCGCGGGCGTGAAGGCGGTGCTCCCGCTTCCTCCTCAGACTCTGCTGGTAAGTCGAGGCTGCTGAGGCAGGCACGCGGGCGGGGGGCGCGGGGAAGGGGTCTCTCGAGAGCCCGGGGGCTGTTCCAGCCAGGCTGGGCAGCGAGAACGCTGCGATCAGGCGCCCGGAGCTAGGAATGTGCCCGTGCAGTCGGTAGGTACGTGCAAAGACAGGACTTTCTTTCTCTTTTTATCTCCCACTTCTCTAAATCCGAAAATCTGGAGATCAAAGTTTAGCGTGGAGTGTGAAGTGCTTGGGTAAAATATGAAGACATCCTTCGCTCTCCTTCTCACCCCGCTCCCCCCTTATAACTATTAATTATTTCCAAGTCATTGTGTCCAATACCCTAGCTGGGCTGATTACAAAGTGAATTGATTTAGTCTAGGCTCATCGTACGCTTTCATCTTAATTTATTTTCTTGTTGCTTGACCAGAAGACCCAAAATGAAACTTCTTTCTTCCTCTTTCCTTCTGCCCCACCCCCAACTCCTTCATCTGAGTGGTTTGAGCAGAATAATGAAATTAATATAAACATTTCATTTGGTTGCCTTTGAGTTTATCCAGCCCACTTCTGAGGGCCCAGGATTGCTCCTATGGCCGACCCCAGGTGTTTTCCAAGTTCAGATTTATTTTGTTCCTGTTCTTTAATCCTGCAGGAGCATTTTGGATCCCCGTTGAGAGGGGTCTGCCTGTTGAAGCCCTCTATAGTTCACCTTCCATTGGCCATAACCTTGAAGACTGAGGACTTGCAAAATAGCCGAGTTGAGAAAAACCCAAGGATATTTAAGGAATTTTCCCGGTACTGAAAATATATTGGATAATACCAAATTCTTGCCTTCCCTCCAGTGTCCTCCACTCTCGGTTTTCAACAGTGAGAATACATTTGGGGGGAAATACGAGCATTTGAAGAGGATTGGTATTTTTCTGTCAGGGTTAGCTGGCTTATTCGAAGCAGCTGAGTTGAGCTGCTAATTTCTGTTTCAGAGAGAAATGTATCAGATCTCTTTATCTTTTTAAAAAAGAATTCCACTGGAATTTTGATTCTCAAAGTAGAATTACCCATCTCTTTTGAGTCCAGAGAAAGAAAACTGGGCTTACATTACCAAAAAATTTAATGGGTTTGTTTTTTCCCCCTTTCTTATTGAAATGCTTCATAATTAAAGAGTATTAAAAATACAAAAGAAATTCAACCATTCAAAAAGTCTGTGCTAAAATCTTAGTGCAGAGGGAAAAAAGGTTTAGCATCTAGCTACTGGCTGCAAACCATCCCCCCCCAACTCCCTCATTTTGGATTAGTCATTGTATGAGAGATAGAGAAAAACTCACTTTTTTTTTTTTTTGAAAAGTAAAGTAAATGGCCTCCAACTGCTGAACCTTGACAACCCAAATTAAGGAAGCAGGGGAGATCAAACAGAGCTGCTGCTGGGCTGTTGTCAGGAACTCCTCTACGGAGAACCCAGTCAGGCTATATGTTCACTTATGCAGAAATGGACCATTGCAAATGCTGATCTTTATTGTGCAAGGAAGCCTCACTTGGAAGGAAATACCCAGCCTCTGGCTGAATTTGGGTTCCTAGGGATGCCAAATTGCTAAACAAGTTATTATTTTTCAATGTATCCTTATTTTGAGGGGAATAAACTCAAAAAGATATCTGAAGGTTATCAAACCATCTGAAGGCTGTCTTGCTTGCTACCCGGAACCTCACCGTGGAATTCTTTTACCATCATTAAACTCCTACACCAGAGTTAGAGTTAGATAACATTTTCTCACATTGAGCTTAGAAGATCTGCCTTCTCGGGAAAGCCAAGGTTTTATATGTGAGCATTTAATTTTGATATGTAGCTCAAAAAAAAAAAAAAAAACAACCCAAGTGATGAAGTTTTGTTTCAGCCCACTCTTGGAATTTCAGAAGTGGGAGAGCCTCCTTTTCTACACACAACCTGTCTTTTTAGGTTGACATTGAATATGACCACACTGCCACTTCTATTCAAGTTCTTTGTAGCTTCTCTTGCTTGTTGTCCAGGAAATTTTCACTGCTTTGCATTTTTAGGGAAAGTAGTAATAGTGATTACTTTAGTATTTTGTTTTTTACAGGTTTATCAAAGTAAAATGAAGACAATATCAATCATTCAAATTAACTGTCTCAAAGAAAGGGGTTTCTATTGCTGGAGAGCTCTGCAAGATATGTTTTATATTTAAATCCTGAAGGGGAAACTAGCCCTTTTTTTTCTAGTTACAAACTATCCCCAAATTGAATGTCATCTTTAATTAAGTCAAGAAATAGGACAAGTAAATACATACAAAAGAATACAAATCATTGTCACTTAAGGCTTGCGTTTTTAATTAACTGGTGTCCATCACATAGTGAGCACTTTGTGTTTTTTTATGTGTTGGAGTTTCATAACCTTGGTACACAATGTGTTTCAAAGTCTAGAGCTTCTATTGGATATATCTTTATTGTATAATTAAGCAATGTGAGTTAAACATACATATGAATGCTGTTAGGCAATTTTTTTGCAGTATATCATGTTTTTAAAAGCTTTAAATATTTTTTAGTTAAATCATTTATACCAACAATAGCAGAAGTTAACCAAGTTAATATTGTGCCTAAGCATTCCCCCCCCCCCCCCCCCCCCCCCACACAAAGAGAAAGACCATTTTTCTGTAAACCAAAAAAAGCGAAAGTAATCCACTTTATTTTGTTCCTCACACCTTCCCCCCCCCCCCCCCGTGACTAGGGTTTTCCTTGCTTCTTTTAAGACTATACCCCTGACTTTGCACGTGTGTATTCTTAGGCCCTGTTGAAGAATATTGTGTTTGCTGCAGTTGTTGAAATGAACAGAAGAATTTTGGGTTATTTCCCAAACAAATGTATTTATACCACAGCATGGCCAATACCAGAATTCAGAAAGAGAAGAGAGCAGATAGCATATTTGACAGCCTCTTTTGAACCCAGCTTCCTCTTTACAGCCAATCTTACTGTATGTTCATTCTTATTTGGCTTTCACATTTTATTTAAGACTCAAACTCAAATTTGTAAGATCATCTTGTAAGATTCTCCATCACACACACACATACATACACACACACACACACACACACAAAATATGTGTATTCAGACAAGCTTAGGTGCTAGAGGCCTGATCCCATTTCAGTGGCTATGCCAAGAATATTTACAGGGGCTAGCGAGAATTTTGCCTTTAAAAAATAATTTTAGGCACACGTTAATCAAATTTAAATAGATTGCAGGCTGACAGAAAATAGTATAAATTTTGTTTATGATTCGGTTACTTTAAGGTACTTACATTAAAGAAACTCATTTAACCCCTGACAACAGAGCATTAAGTAGAGAGGAGAGTTCTCCAGAGGGCTCCAGCTGCCCTTTGCTCTCCTGATAATCTTAAATTACTACAATTTAATTGCAACTTCAAGACATCCAGGATGGGCTGTTTCTCCACAACCCAGAAAGGTCCAGAGCTTAGCTCCATTTACACAGGTGGTATTGTTAGTATTAGTTTTTTTTTTTCTAAATATCTTTTTTCTTATTAGCTTTCATATGCCTTCTATACATTTTAGTCACAGTGAAGGCCATTTTTGCTAAGTAAGCAGTATTAGCCATTTTCTTAAAGCATATTTTAAAATCTAGAATGGATGAACATACAACTGCTAACTGGACAGGTGAATTCCATACCTAAGAGACTTTGTCTACACTGAGCTTATAAGAGAAGCCAAGCCAGGCAAGATTGTTTGCATATGGACCTGCAGGTTTCCCAAATGAGCTTTTACTTGACTCTCTACCCTTGTCTACAGGCCACTTAGCCTTAGGCATGCTATGCAAGGAATCATCAACTGATTTTTGAAAACTATTTCTCTTGTCTGGTACTTGGATGAATTAAAGTTAGAGATGCCAAAAGCTGGTGCAGCAGCAGGCTGTGAGAGGAGATGACTTCTTAAAACAGGGGCAAACCTGGCCTAATTGGGGATGCTTTCTGCCTGATAGTCCTCTCCCCCTCTGTCCAGGAGGTGTAGTTTATTTCAGTATGCGTGTGACCACAGGGTTAATGGAGATAAAGCAGGTTTGGCTTGTGTCACCAACCTAAAAATAAATGTAAGGGACATTTGATTTCAAGAAGTGCTTTGCTGTGGCCTCCCATAGTTGATGTCTTTGCTCTGCGGGCTGCAGGCTGGTGCTCAGCAGAGGGAAATACAGGTCAAGTGCATGGCAGTTGGGAAAGACAATTAGACAGGGTTCTTTGTTTCTTTAATACATTATTCTTATTAATTACCACCAATTTGTGAGAAAGCATTTTTCAAGCCTTGTTTAGAAGGCAGCTCCCATACAGGAGAAGGTGATGGAAGGTGCTGGAAATGGTTGTTTCGCCCAGCTATAAAGTATATTGACAAACTAGCTTGTGGACATCTCCTGTAAGGCTTGTTTTCTTTTTTGCAGTCCCCTAACACCAGTTTTTGTTTGCTTGCCTCTTGAGCACAACAGGTACCTGTTTGGTTGTAGGTTTATGGTTCTGAAAGTTAGAAAAAGTGGTTCCTATCTAGATGGCTGGGAAGAAAGAGAGCCTATAAGGAAGAGCCTGGTTCCCTGAACAGGTGTAAATGGGTTTGCATTTATGACCCTCGCCATGCTGTTTTGTTTTACAAAGGGACTGGAGTGGGGTAGACTCTGTTTATTGGTGAAATTTACAATGATGTTGTAGTAATTTCAGGCTCTGGGGTGAGTACAGAGGGCACAGGGGGCTTTCTGGTGGTTTGGCCTTGATATTCCAAGGCACTCAGTTGTTGGGTTAAATTAGTTTCTTCAATCCTAGTACTTAAAGTAACTAAATCGTAAACAAAATTTATATTAGATCCTGACAACTAATAATCTATTTAAATTACATTAAAGTATCTGGGCAAAAATTTAATTAAAGACCGAAGTACTGTCAAGCCCTGTAAATATCTTGACAGGTCTACTCAAATGGAACTGATATCGCGAAATATTTACATATGTCTGGT